GACAGTGAAGGAGCAAGTAAGTTCACTTTTATCACTTTTAACTTTTATCTCTTCCTGTCAGTAAATTTTTTGGTCAGCACATGTGCAGGCAGCATATTTGATTGGCTCCTAGTGCTGTCCCTCCCCATCTAGACTAAGTACTGGTGTACATGGGATTAAAGGAGGCTGATGTCAAATTATATTTATGCACTTACAGGATTAGCATTTACTGGTATTTCTAAAAACTCTAAAAAAAATGTATTGCTCATATTTTGACTGCTACCAGAAGATTAATTCCCCATTACTGGAAATCTGTAGAGGTCCATTCCCAGAATCAGCTTATCAATGCCATAGCTGAGGTGCGAGCAATGGAATATTTGATTGCTCTCTCAGGTGAATATTTAGGTCTGTTTAATAAAGTGTGGGACTCTTGGGACTTCTCCATTTAGGGATCTATTCCTTCCTCAACCTCTACCTCCACAAAACCTTTAACAACTCTCTAACTATATTTCCTAAGCAGGTCACTCTCTCATATTGTGTGAGATAATTGGGAATATCATCTTTTGGATATTTGCTTGTATCTGTATACATTGCTTCATCTCTCATGTAGATCTATTGGTTGACTTCTTGGCTAGGTTAATAATACCCCTTTGTTTAAGGGTTGGTTGACATTTTGGTTAACTAAGGATAGATAGCTCTCCACGCCCATGTCTTATCTTAGTATTATAGTTGTGTGGCTTATTATTTGTTTTCTGTAGCTAACAGTGAATTTCCTAATGTAACTTTTAATATGCCATCCCCAATTAAAGGATGGCTTACATTACTACTTCTCTCATATTTTACTGTTTCACCAATGTGCTGACAAGATATCTCTCTTTTTGTATTTATTTCACATTACTTCTTTTCCTCTAAATGTGGACACTCCAATAAAAATTACAATAATAAAAAAAATGCAGGTACTTAAACTAGCTGCCAAAAATGCATATCCTCATGTTTTAATGAATACATAAATATACCAATTGATGTTATGTAATATCTGCCTGGTGTTTGGGTTTAAGGGATAATCATGCATAGTAATAAAGTATGTACACTGACAAGCTATAATTACGTAAATGCACTTTAACCTGGCAAAGCCTGTTCCAAACTGACCAGGCTGCAAGGTAGCTGAGCAGTACTTATAACTTTCAATGCAGTTTGCAGTGTCCGTGTGGACAAGATAAGATGGAATAGTCTGTCATAAATGTATAGCAAATGAAGCCCAGCCTGAAACAGATCAAGCCTCTATCTGCAATATGCCTCCCAAGGGAAGATCTGAATACTATATTAGCTTGGGGCATACACAATTTTAAACATGTTAAAAGCTGAACTTCTAGCACTTTGTGTACACCAGATACCTTTGGAAACCCAGTTATTCCCTTGAAAAAGTACCAGTGATATTATCACATAGCCTGCATTGACAGCAGAGCTTTGGCAGGGGCACAGCATGCCCCACCCATTACAAGCTGCCTGCAGAAAACTACAGAAGGGAGTGTAGACAAGACCAGTCACCCTGCACAGGAAAATAGAGAGCAGTGGTGGCCAGTCTTTAGTACAGGAAATTCCTGCACATAGGCAAAGTTTCACACTGGTTTACTGGACAGATCTGGAGGAAATACACAAAGCACACCAAGTATGAATACACATGCCTCTTTAATTCAAACAATATTTGCTTTTTCTGAGGTTCAACTTTAAAAATGTCATATTTTTAGAAAGGTACCCTTTGAATTATTGCATTAAGCTCATACTGTAATATTTCCTCCCCCACGTGCCTCTTCCCCTGATTTCTCAGTCAGGATCAATAGCACCACTATCAACCCATCCCTGCATGCCCTGGTGCTAGGGGTAACCCTGGATTCTGAACTATCCTTACAGGCCCACATCAAATCCCTGTCCAAATCATGCCGCCTCAACCTCCGCAACATCTCCAGAATACGCCCCTTTCTAGCCGATGATACTACAAAGCTCCTAATTCACTCCCTGGTTATCTCTTGCCTCGACTACTGCAACTCTCTCCTCATTGGCTTACCTTTACTATGGCTATCCCCCCTCCAGTCCATCATGAATACTGCTACAAGGCGCATCCACCTCACCAACTGTTCAGTGTCTGCTACCCTTCTCTGCCAATCCCTCCACTGGCTTCCACTCACCCAACAAATAATATTCAAAATACGAACAACAACTTACAAAGCCATCCACAACTCTGCCCTCAGCTACATCACCAACCTGGTCTCAAAATATCAACCAAACCGCTCTTTTTAATCCTACAAAGACCTCCTGCACTCTAGGTCCCATGTCACCTCCTCCCCATGCTCACCTCCATGACTTCTCCCGAGCTTCTCCCATCCTATGGAACTCCCTACCCCAATCTGTCCGGCTATCTCCTAATCTACCCACCTTTAGACGATCCCTGAAAACCTTTCTCTTTAAAAAAGCCTTTTCTGCTTTTAACTAGTAAACTGCCTTTTATTTCCTCCATCAGCTCATCCCCCACAGCTATTACCTTTTGTATCACTCAACCCCCCTCTTAGATTGTAAGCTCTAACGAGCTGGGCCCTCTGTTTCCTCTTGTACCAAATTGTATTGTAACTGTAATGTCTACTTTCATTTTGTAAAACACTGCACAAACTGTTGGAGCTATATAAATCCTGTATAATAATAACACTATATTTTTTTTTTCTTCCTTTGTTTTGTTGACTTTTTTCTCTGGCTTTTTTTGATGAAAAGACAAAAAATAAAAAATGATTAATTTTCTTGTCTAAGGATACCAACCAATATCCAAGGAACAGACATCTCTCCTTTAATCTCATAATCTCTATCTGTTCACTCAAGGGGACTAACACAAAATCTCAGCACCACAGACAATATTGCCAGCTAATTAGTAATAACAGAGCCACCCACTGCTCTGCAGCACATTGAAGAGTAAAAAGTCATTGGAGGAAGTGGTAATAAAGAAAACTAATGGGTAAATGTGAAAATAATTTTGTAGTTTTTCCTGTAATGATATTTATGCTGTTTTAAAGCTGAACTCCAGGGTCCTTAAACAGCCCAGGTTCTAGGCTTTGGGCAGTAATAGAAAATCATGTAGTAATTAATTATTTAGAGTGTAATTTAGTGGTTTAATTAATCCGATTTGGGTCAAGTGGTGGAGTGCAGAAGGTCAGAAATTAAAAAACACCAGTTGGTAGAAGTGCACCACAAGCAGCTCTGCTGTTCGAGTACTGTAACAGTGCTTGGCTCTAGTTACCAGAAACACAGGATTCATTTATATGCAGCCAGGAGGAGGATTGTGGGCTAGCAAAAAAAATGGCTTAGGTCTGCATGGCACAATCTGCTCCACCAGCTGATGGGGGAAAATCATTAGGGAAGTTCCAGAACTATGTTTTTGTCTTTTTTACAGAGACCCTGCCACATAATTAAGCATCATACTTGTATTGATAAATATAATAGTGTTTTGTTTGTACATTCTATTGCTACATCTCGGCAATTATATTATTAACTTATTGCAGAGTAAAGGCTGAAACACTGGCTGAATATTGGGCGGTATGAGTTGGGTCAACAAGAACCGGCCACCATTCCACACGTGTGTACAGCAGACTGTTCAGCTTCTATCGAACAGGCATGCTGGAAAACCAGCAACTGCCGACATCCAATCAAAGCTCACAGCCAATGGCTGCAAACGCTGATTGGTGTGTCCTGCGAGGGGAAAGTCTCCCTGTCAAAACACAATAGCTCAGCGGGGGAGATCCCAGCACTAACATTGCTTGTTTTAGTACAGAAATCTGTCAGGGTTTTTCTTTTTAACAACTTATAGTGACACTTCTGATGTCAGGGTCTTTTTAAAGGTAAGTATGGCAGCTTATAAGGTGAACCATAGATTACATAATTACATGGCATTTTTAATTGGTGAGTTTGCATTTTTGGTTAGTCTTCAGCTTTAAAGTGGTTGTAAACCTCAGACGTGAAACATGAACAAGACATATCCCTCTCTAGTGTGTACTAGTATCATTTCTGTCTGCTGCTTGCTTCCTCTGCAATCAGCAAGATACATTTCTGACACATTTTCCTGACACCAAGAGAAAAAAGGTGACAGGGGAGGGATCCCCAGCCCGCAGTCTGTGACTGACAGCCTCAGCTCTGTTCCTGTGTGCTGTGTAAAGGGGGGGTGCCCCTTCCCTCCAATCAGCTCTCTTCACTGAGCTCTGCAGTGTGTAACTTCAGTTCTCTGCCCCATTTTCTGAAAGCTCAGACAAGCTTTATAAATTCTGTACTTCGAATGGATGTAGAGAAGAGAATACTGAAGATAAACAGGTACAACTTATGTAGGTATAACCAAATTATTTGTTTGGAGCAGAATTGCCTTTTAACATTGACTATAAGTTTTCTTGGAAATATTATTTTAGCTTTTAAAATCCAACTTTAGTTTGAATCAGCTAAATCATTCCAGGTGCACTGAAACAAAAGTCTTGCAAATTTTTATGGTATATTTTCTTAGGAAAGCAGCCACAGCCTGAGTGAAAAAGCCTGTCCCCTGTCAGCTTGCTGGACAAAAGCACCCTTGCTCTCTGTGTAGAAGCAGTGGTTTCTCTGCAGAGGTCTGAGAAGCCCACGACTGAGAATTCAGGCCTATAGCTCTACAACCAGCAAAGCTAATGCCCCCTGCTGACTGCAGAGCTCTAGTTCTGATTTACCAGGGGGTGTGCCAGACCTCTGCAGAAAGATCACTGCTTCCACACAGAGAACAAAGGAGCATGCTGGCAGGAGACATGTTTTTCTACTTAGACCACCTTCTAAATAAAATGAACTGTAAGACTTTGCACAACTTTTCTTTTTGGAGCACCTGCAATCTATTTTTTGATTTGAACTGAAAGTTCGACTGGGCTTTATACATCATTTAGCCATTTTGGAAGTATGTGTGCAAAAATATTTTAAATGAAAATCCAAAGTATACAGGTAAGAAAAAAACAAAGAACAAAACATAAGTACTATACATTACTCACTCTGATATTGAATCCCAAAAGGTCACTTATAACACCAGATACCACAGAAAGAATCACAACACGGGTTATATTATAAATTAAAGGGTTCATTGCAAGTCCATACAGCCTGAAAGGGGTGTCAATTTCCTGCAACACAAACAAAAGTGTCTATAATTTTCAATGACTTGTGAATGATAGTAATTCAGAGCACAGCAAGTAAGTTTCATCATATTCAAAAATTACATAGCTACATAGTCCATTGGGAAAAAATAGAATAAATAAATAATCTGTAAACTCAGGGCAGCTCAACCCCCAGTATCCTCAATCTGCTAAGCAGATGGACAGTGCTTCCATTCGGTTCCTGGATTCCGCACAATGATACTTCAATTTTATACGCCGGCACATGTCCCTAGAATCATAAAACCTCTTTATTGGTCCTGATTAAAAAGCTACAACTTAAATCCCAACACTAACACGTTTCTGCCCTGTGTAAGCATTAGTTATATGCTATGACTAAGGCCCTCACACGGCAGAAACACATTCGTAGTGGGATTTAAGATGTAATTTTTAACCCAATAAAGAGTTTTCCTGAACCTAAGGATGTGTGCCCCCTTATGAAATTCAAATAAATAAATAGAAAACCTCCATATATAGAATTCTATATCCACAGTTGATCCAGAGGAAGGCAAAAAAAAAAGTATAACGCATGATCCAATTTGTTTCAGCAGGGAAAAGTTTAATTCCTTCCCAATCCCACAGAAGGCATTTGAATATGATGGATCAACATTCTCTGGTGTTATTTCCTATAAATGTCAGTTTCCAGGAATTACATAATTTATTCTGAGCAATTGTATAATCAGCACCTATCTTCTACAGGACTGTAAAGAATTTGTGCAAATGAAGCCTTTACACACAAACCACATTTATTGGCATAGAAAAATAGTTAGGACCTTAACATAATATACTAGCATATTATTATAGCATTATATTAGAAAAGCTTCATTTACACTGGAAACCTTCTTGATGATCACCAGAGAGTTACTCAGGGCATTGTTGAATGACGGCAAAAACTTCTGCAGCTCCCGCCATGCTTCCTGCTGTGTGCTCTAGAATTCACTTCCCTGTTGGGTGCACCCAGCATACTTTCCCAAGGCACTTAGGGGCACTCTTTACATCTGGAGGAAAAGAGATTTAATCTCCCCATTACGGAAAGGTTTCTTCACAGTAGGAGCTGTAAAAATATGGAATAAACTCCCTTGAGAGTTGGTTCTGGTCAACTCAATGGATTGCTTTAAAAAAGGTCTGGATTCTTTCCTAGATACACAGAATATAACTGGATATTAACATTTATAAGTAAAGTTGATCCAGGGAATATCTGATTGCGTCTCGGGGGATCAGGAAGGAATGTTTTCTCCTGCAGGAGCAAATTGGATCATGCTTTGCTGAGCTTGATCAACTGTGGGTATAGCATTATAATTTTTTTTTTTTTTGAAGTGGATGCACTTTTGTCTTTTTTTCAGCCACACTAATGATATACCTATGTAACACTGGAAACATTGTCATGCATAAAGTTTGGAATCCTAGGTTCACATGCGCAACAGCGATATTCTTACACTTTAGTCACACTGCCCCGGAGATGAAGACAATCAATGCAGACTGGATGCTAAATGCCCTAGGATACGTTTCAGGAAAAAATTTGAAAACTTCCATTTAGTGTAAAAAGTAAAAAAATAAAAAATTTATTATCAAAGTATTTTTAAACTGATATGAATAGTTACTTATTCTTCATATTAAATAGAAACTATCATGGTCTGGGATCAATTTTATATAAGCTGTAAGTTCGTTTAGTTATGGTCTCTGTTTACCTGTGCTGATTACTGAAATGTGAAAAAATGGCAGACTATTATTATACGGGACTTATATAGCGCCTACATAAATAGTTGGCATGTGATTTGATAGTGTCATATTACAAACACTAGTGCTGAGTGGTTAAACTGCTTAGACAGCACAACAAGGCAGCCATTAGTTATTAAATAATGATTTGCTGAAAGTCTACTGGTAAGTGGCTACATAGCAAGGGGGATGCTGACAGAACCAAGGTCATGGTACACAGAAAAATAAATGATTTTTTTAGATAGACGGAGGATTTATAACTGCTGAGAAACATTTATTGCTTACTGGAATATTTCTTTGTTATGATCAGCTTAAGTATGTGCTTTGGATCCAAATAACATGGCCCATAATAAAATAGAATATCATTATTATTTAGGAGTTCCAGCAAAATGGTGCATAGAAACACTCAATGTCAGGCAGCTGTTGTAAAAGTTGATAAATCTGGACATGGAAAACAGAAATGGGGATGTATGCAGGAAATCCTATTTATAGTTTTTACAACCACATGAGTCAATGTATTGGCAAAATCCTGTATAGATAATACTATGTTGGTAATATATCTCCATGGGAAATGTGTAAAAGTATACAACACAGGTATGTCCTTAACAGAATTTACAATATACAGCTACAGAAAAAAAACACAGTTATTACCCATTTAACGTTCCCTAAACAGAACAGAGCACATTCATTGATACTATGGGAAAATTGTTTAGCTGTAAGCAGAGAAGGGGAAGAAGGGGTTACTTTGTAAGGGGTAGTCCATTTAACCACTTCCTGTCCGGACACTTTTACCCCCTTCCTGTCCAGGGCAATTTTTAGCTTTCAGCGCTATCACACTTTGAATGACAATTGCGCGGTCATGCAACACTGTACCCATATGAATTTTTTACCATTTTTTTGAGACAGATAAAGCTTTATTTTGGTGGTATTTATTCACCGCTGGGATTTTAATTTTTTTTTACTATGTAAATGAAAAGTCCAAAAATTTTGAAAAAAAGTGTTTTTTTAAATAAAATTTTGCAAATAAATAATATTTCATCATAAATCTTCGCCAAAATTTATTCCGTTATTTTTTTAGTAAAAAATAAAAAATCCAAATTAGTTTATAACCAAAAATTATAATTTTTAAACATTTTTTTTTACATTTTTATTTTATTTTTTTTATATTATTATTTTTTTTTTTTTTACATACTGTCACCCTAGCAGTACAGTGTCACCATGGTGACACTGTACTACTTGTGGGGGGTGATGAAGATTTTTTTTTTTTTTTTTTTACACATTGCTTTTACACCCATATAGGATGTAATAGCAATCATTTCTCTTTCTCTCTGTCCGCATTCTTGCAGCCATTGAGAACTACTGAGTGAGCTGTGATTGGTCACAGCTTGTCACATGGTACAAGGCTGTTGTGAATAGCCTTGTACCATGTGAACTCTGTGATCATTCACAGATTTCACACGTAGTAAGCAATGATGTCACAAGTGACATCTTGCTTACTACTTTGCATGTGATCACTGATTCGCCAATCAGTGATCACATGATTGGGACCTCGTACAGAGGTCCCGTCCGACGATTGGTGTTTCACTGTGTCCGGAGGACACAGCGGGCACCGGATCGCGGTGGTGCGCGCTCCCAGGGAGTTTATAAACAGCAGGCGGACGGCAAGAGGTTAAAAAAACGCTATTTAATTCATTTTTAATATTCAAAGCAAACTCCCCCATCCATATATGACTCCATGCTTTATTTTTGCTGAGCAATTGTCTTGAAAAACACCTCCTAGCATTTCTGGTTGTGGCAATCTTGAGTAAGTATTGAGAATAAACCACTGACAATACAAACATATATGATCCCCTTATAGCAAAATCTCCACCTCCACCCTTGAAGATGCAAACAATATATGCACTATGTATTGTTTCTTTTTTTGAGGTAACACTGTTCGTGCAAGCAGTTGGGAGGCTATATATTCTTGGATTTTTTCAATGCAGCAATCCACTACACAAGAGGGGCAGTAGATATATATTTCTGTGTGATATTTTGGTGATTCTGGACTTTATTTGGACTTTAATATGTTTGCGATTTAGAAGAAGGGGTTATTATAGTATATTAATTATTTACTTAGCATATTCACTATAAATCTTGAGTAAGTGCCAATGATTCGTGTAGCATTTACTTCCTGGAATCCATGTGCCCTTAGCTCAGGCATGCAGGCAGGAGGGTGTGCTTAGCTAAGAAAACCCCTCCTACCCTCCTGAAGACTCCTGGCATCTATGGCATCATTTGCCTAGGCATGGAAACCAGGAAGTAACTGAAGAAATGTAAAAAAAAAATAAAACAAGTAAATATAATATACTTTCCTATCTCTTAACTAATGCTAGCAGCATAAGGATTAAAAATAGTCAATGTTGGTTGACAGAGTGGAGTTCCGCTTTAATAACATGATATATATGAAATAGAATGCTGTGTAAATAGAATAGCATGTTTTTTTACCCGTCTGCTTTTTTTTTTAGGAGACTTTAGCAACAGTTCTGATTTAAAAAAAAAAAAATCATCATTCATCCCCATTGACTTATGCAGCAAATGTAAGGCAACCTTGCCTAAACATGTTTTAATAATCTCCTCCTATACATGGCAAATTAAATTCAAGGTTCAGATGGCTCTTTTGTGCTGATTTATATTACAGCTACTATAGTTCCAGTGCTAGACATAAAAAAGTACACTATCACCCCCTATTGGTAACAGAACGTACTTAATTTCTAGAGCGCTTTGTATGCTTTTTAACAAGATGATCCAGATTTTTAAACAGAACAAATTTCTGCTGCGATCAGTTGGGAAAATAGGAAATAGCAAAAATATCATTAACCCGATGCCAATAGGTTTAGGTAAAATTAGCAATAGTGAGGCATTGCTTGGATCAACACAACACTACAGAATGAACAAAAGGTGGAGTGGAAAAAAACAAGGTGTTATGTTTCCGGCAAACCACTAATTCTCATTTTGTAACCTGCAATGAAGAACAATAGCTGAATCTGCGGGTAACTTGTTTTTGCTCCAGTTTTATACATTGGTTTTTCAATGTATTTTTATTGTTTATTCACTAGTCAGCGACCGCTCTATGCAATCTCTATAGTCTTTCTCCTGTGCCTAACTTTTACTACTATAAACTGGCATACATTTGATTATGGCTCATAATTGTATAGCAATCAGCTTCTCATTCACAATGTATTTAAATTTCAACTGATGCGCAGGGGCAAAAATGAAATCACTTACTTTGGGCAGTTGCAATTGGAAATATAATTGCAATTTTATAAATTTACAGAATAATTGCATTACCTGTTCATTTTCATACCTGCCTTGATTTAACCTTTAAATATACATTTTATTATGTTATAGTAACAAGGTGATAAAACTTACTCAAGTCTGTGTAGTGTTACACATTTTAAAAGAATACATGTTTAGATTTACAATGAATATATTTATTGCAGTGTCTATAATAGCACATAATGTTACTTCCCAGTAGCCTTTGAGCTGAGCTCTGACTCACATTCTGTCTTGTCCTATTTTTTACAGAAAGCATTTTCAGTACAGGCTACAAATTTCATTCCAGAAAGCATTTTTGAGCAGCATAACACTCTGTTATCTGCTCTGAACATCAATCATAAATATGCTATCAATGCTTATGATTCATCAGTGATTCAGCCCTCTGCATTTCCAAGCTCTAACCCCTATTCTGCCATCCAAGGTGGGATTTCTGCATTTTCAACATAGGCTGTGGCCTAGGGGAGCAGCTCTGCCAGGGGCATCTCAAAACCATATAACTCAATGGCAATTGTCAGTAATACATTTCTGTGTATAATAAAATGATTTGTACTATTGTGCTAGCTGCCAATTCAATCCAGACATTGTTTCTGTTCCTGCTCATTGTGTGCATTTTTGTTGGTGGAAGAATATATACCTGCTAGCAGAGTAGAGTGACCATTTCCTCTGCTTTTTCCAGCATATGGGTACAGGTGTACAGATGCAAAAAGGGCACTGAAGAGGTAAATCTGGAGATTCCACCAACAAAATCCTACCATGGTCCAATGGTGGTTTATGAACAGCTAGAATTTGCATCATCTTTTGTGCATTCACACAATACTCAACTATAATTTTTTACACTCAGGCTAACGCAGTACAAAGTGCAATGCCATCTTACCATCTAGTTAGATATCAACTATTAGTAGACTAAACACATTAAACGCCAAATGGCTCATGTCCAAAATGCTTGTAAGGGTTTTAGCACACCAATTAAATTCCCCACTATCATCTTCTTTAGGGTCATAAACAACAAATTATATACTGCTAGGTAAGTGCAAGGAACAATGGCATACTTTCATAGTGGACCAGCTATGGTGACAATATAATACAATGTTCCTAAATATCTGCTGCTATATCCAATCATTGTTTTCTTTCACATACATACTTTAATGAGTTTGGAAGACAATTTCAGGACATTATTCACAATTGTGAGCTGTTCCTTCTTGTTTGGTTTCTTTTCCATTTTCAAATAAAGATTGATCTGTAAGGTGTAAATAGTAAATAATCACAAGTCAAAAATCCCACCCAATGGTACACTGACATGCAAACAGAAAACTGAATAACAATTAGATTAGTGATGTCAACATTTCCACAGAGTAGAGAAGGCAAAACACCATACATGTATGAATGTCTCAGCATTCACACAAAAGTCACAAATAGCACCTGTATTGTTTGTAATACGTATCTAATGTCACCTTCTATTTGTTGCCATTTGCCAGGCAAACGTAACATTCCCTAATGTTCGATCCTAAGTGGAAAAAATCTTAGCAGCATGCGATCAAAAGAGTTTAAGAGCATTCGAACAATACAGAAAATAGCTTAACACTCAACTAGAAAAAAAAAATAGTAAGAGGGAGACCTCTGCACTATGTAAGTGTATGAAGATTCCTGTGCTCTCTATACGGATGAGTTGCAGGTTTGCCTGTTGTTTGGGGAGTTGAGAATGGCTGAATCTCTTGCTGCAATTTAAAGTGAAGCATTTAGCAGCTGTAGTATTACTACATCTGCTAAATATGACCACTTTCTGCTCAGCGCAGGTTGTTAGGAAGCTGGAACATGCCAGCATCCTAGCAACTAGTGAATCATCCCAGCTTGTCACATTAAGCTGTCAGCTGGGGTTTTATGGCTGACAGGTAAATGTAAACAAAGGAGTGGGGATAATGTAAAACAATGGCATGGTTCCCCCCAAATCCATACCATGCTCTTCAGGTCTAGTATAGATGTTGGGGATCCCGTAAAATCCATACTAGATCCTTATCCAGTTTGCCCAGGAAAAGGGGTGCAAGAGCATGCAGGCTTCCTCCCCTCCAAAACAATATCAGGCCACATGCCCTCAGCAAGGGGACCCCTCTGGCAAAGCGCCTTATCACAATGTTAATAAAGACAAAAGTCATTCCACCAAAATCCTGGCTTGGTGGGGGTGTGGGATTGGGGTTTATTGGTATCTGGAACAACCTTCAAAAATAAGACTGGCCCCAGATACTGCCCCCACCTCCCACAAGATTGAGAAAGGTGTAGTACCCCTACTCGTTCACAAAAAAGGAGTAAATAAACAAATGTGTCCCTAAGAAAGTCCTAAATTAGTAATTTCCTCTAGGGATAAATTTATACAAGGTAAGTTTCTGCATAGAGCATATTACACCCCTATGCAACCCCCCGGAGCGTGAACCAGTGTGTCCGCGCTGCTGACTGCACCCAGGATTCTTTCTATATTTGTTCTGGGATTGCCCTAAGCTTCTTGCATATTGGTCTGACATTTTTGCAGTGATTAACCTTGCAATTTTCTATACCTGTCTCATTAGAATTAGCTCTGCTGGGGATTCATGAAGATGCCCAGTGCTCCCACTATATGAAACTGCTGATTTCTTACCTTCCGTACTGTGCCAAGAAAGACATACTACTGAAGGGGACCTCTGCGGGCCCTCCCGCGATGTCATCCTGGGAGGCCCTGGTTGATTCTGCTCTCCCTATGTAAAAGCTCACCTATACAAGTCGGGGTTGCCCCTGAAAATACGACAAGTTGTGGCTTCCCTGGATGTCATGGTAGTGGAGAGTGTGTGTGCACCCACCCTTTTAGATGGTTGACTACTTGTATGCAGAGTGTTGGGTTTGTCCTCCCCACTTCCTTCTCCCTTCCCTCCTTTTGCTTGCATCGGCTGCTCCCCCTCCTACTTCCCTCCAATACTCTTCATTGTGCCTTGGGTTTTCCATTTTGATTGCCTACAGCTTTAGATGCTTCTTTTGTACTCTCTGATGCTTTGATGACAATACTGCTTTGTTTTTTGGACTATTCTATTTTTGGAGTAACTACCTCTTTGATTGTACTAATCTTACTATGTCAAACAGTTACAGTTGTACTTTGTATTACTTTTATGTTCTCAATAGTGAATAAACACGCAAAGTTTTTGACAAGTCCTTTTAGGAAAGAAAAGTCCCATGATATATATCTGCCATCATACATGTCATCTAGCAATGCACATCCACTTCAACCATGATGACCAACATGGGTGCTAAATGTTGCAGTTCACACTGGAGCGGAAGGTTCACTTAACTGAATGCTCATTAGTTTGGTCGCTTGGCGAACCTACAGCTCATTCCTAGAGAGTGCAGGAATCTCTGTATACTTTGTACACCGCTTTTTATGCATTTATAAACCTTTTTTAAATGCCTACTTTCTACACTCTGACCCAGATTTTGCCATTTAGATTCACATTGCACTCACTGTACTTTATGTAATGTTTTGCTGACATATCTTTGAAATCAACATTCTGATGGTGCCCATTTTGTAAACCTTGAATAATGTTAAGGAAAATGTTTGCATGTGCATTTCTTGGAAAACAAATAAAATTCATTGAATGTGAAAGTGGTTCTAAAAGGTTCTTTACCTTAATGCAAAACCCTCAAATAGTTGTTCCCCCAGCTCCCCTTTCTAAATACTTATTTGAATCCCGTATCAATACAGCGTTGTGCCTGTCTGCTGCAGAGCTGGTTCTCTCTCTGCGCAGGTTCAGAGCCATTGGCTCCTGTTGCTGTCAACCAAATGCTGTGAGGAGGGAGCAGTAGGTAGGGCGGAGCCTTACTATGTGCGTCTATGGATGCACACAGCCTAGTTCACGAGCGAGCCCGCACTTGTGGCACCATAGGAACTGACTTCCTGTAATGGCACACAGAGAACAGGAGGAGTAAAAATCGCCATGGGGGACCCCAGAAGAGGACATTTGGGGCTGCTCTGTGCAATACCATTGCACAGAGCAGGTAAGTATAACATGTTTGTGTGTCAAAGCTTTATAGGAAGCGAGTCTTGGCTTTCAGTTATTGTTTTCCCTGGGTGCATGCAACTATTAAGTTTTCGCCAATACCATTTGTCCATGCACCCATTTTTGGGTCTTTGTCCAATACATACAAATTAAAAAAAAAAAAATATATATATATATATATCTTTTACTACCGCTTGAATGTCAGGATCTGTTACATTTGCCTGGTGAAAGGCAACATATAAAAACTGACATTACATATATATTACAAACATCATGGGTATTATTCGTGACTTTTGTGCAAATGCTGAAACACTATGCAACTCACTACTATAGCAAACAAGTAACTGCATACCTACATCTAATGAACACTTCTCCTTTAACATATAAAATTCACAAGAAATCATAACATCTTTTTTAAAAACTAAAAACATAAGAAATGCCTTCTTTGGTATTAAAGCATCACCACAGAATTAACTAGGAACTGGGAAGTTGGGTTGTGGAAAAATAAGTGGCAAAACAGCAAAGTACCGAGTGGCATATTACAGCTGTTAATGAGTCTAAAATGGGACGGAGCTTAGTACAAACATGAAAGGGTAAAATGTAGAATGGGAGACTTTGTAAACATGTAACTTGCCTTCTGTTATATGTAAATACTTTGATTATATATAAAGGGATTATAGAAAAAATACATAGAATATAATCCAATCCAATGAGATATACTGCAAATTTTGATTTTGTAAAATCAATTTTAACTTTTCATCATAACATCCATTTACAGAGGAATCAGGAGCTAGAAGAAAATATGCATAGATGGCTAATAAATAAATGGAGCATAATAAAATGGGGTATAGGTAGAAATTGTGTACACGAGGATCAGGGCTGAACTGAATGTTTTATTGGTCACTTTATGAATGACCTGACAGATGGAATAGAATAAAATGTTTCCTTTTTTACTGATGACACATATTTTAGGTTTACTGAAGCTGAGCAGGATAGAAACATATTACAGAAAGGTTTTAAAGCCCAACTGAAGCTTTTGTTTTTATCACTGTAATACAGTCAGACTGCATAAACAATAACAGATATGGGTATATTTTTGCAGCTAGGGTTAAAATGTCCTGTGTCTAGTACGCTGGAAATGTGCAAAGCTGATCAACACAGAGTGCAGCGATTGGGTCTCCAGCAGTCTGACATACTCCGTCAACACTGCACATGCACCCTGAGCTGAGCTGTTGATTGGAACATTGCGTCCAGGGCATGTCTGGCACAAATGTGTACTTTTGTATCAGCTGTCTAATCAGCTTATGTTGTTTTATGGCATGCATATTTTCAGAGTTAGCATAAATCCCATGACCATACACTGGTAGGGAAAGATTCTGACTCCAGTGTTGACCATTTTGGCATACCTCTTCAGTCAGTAGTATTGAGACATTGCTATACTTCTTGTTGGTCTCTGATCCCAGGGAAGTTAGACGTAGGAGAAAAATGAGCAAAGCTGCTTCCCAAATCAGGAATTCCCAGTTATAGAGATAAGTTAGAAAGGTTTTATGTCCATTCAGAACCTATTTTGACAAGGCAAATAAATAATTTGTAGTATTCAAACTATCAAATCTGTTTATTGCTTACAACAGTCACAAATAACTCTACCATAGCCTGAGCTATTGCACTGCTCTTGTATTACACTGTCCATGTTCAGAACACATTGCTGTCCAAAATTTATACTGCTCAATAACCAATGAGATTCATTTAAAACTCAATAACACAATTTATAGCCATATTATCCAGTTAGACAACCTAGGCTAAGCTTTTATTAACCTACAGAAAACCTGGGAGTCAGCACAATTGGTTAAGGTCATGCACCGAGACAATGCAAATGGTGCATCAATTGCAGACCCAATCAATCTCAATTGAAGGGTTGAGGAGGGACAATGCTGCTTAGTTCTCCATTAATGTGTCTTGGAACAAAAATCAATGTGGTTTCTGAATTACACTGAATCTATTCTGTAAAGAGAAAAAAAACGCCCATATAGTCCAAAAATAACAAAAGATGTACATAGTTGTGTGTGGCCATTCCTCCACAGCATACCACAGCTGTCAATAATGGGAGTGAGTACAGACATACAATGGACCTTAATGAAAAAAAACCTTACCTTAGACTATCTGCCAGTTCATATATTCTATCCTGTAGTAAGAATTAATTTCTAAGCAAAAAGCTCATAAAATATGATCTTAGTCATAGATGAACCCCTATTAGTAAGTAACAAAGCCTAGTTAATGGTTACTAGCCCAAACTCTTTGTTGCTGCAACAATAAAGATATATTTCAGCTATTTCCCGTACACAAAATTCTTTCAGTTCATGTGCATTTTTGTTTCGTCACACTTGAATGGCCTGCCTCAAATTAAGGAACAGTTTTTCAATGGGATTTAAGACAGGAGAAATCCTTCTGTTTATTTTTTTTTTAATTTAATTTTAATTTACCCATATTTCAGATCTCCAGCATAAACTAACAATTTCTAAGTCTTTGGCAACAGACCTGCTGACAATGTGCTTTACAATTTCCTAGTACAACCATCTGTGTCAGATGTCTTGCAAATCGCAACTGAAATCAGCAGGTCACCCGATTTTGAAATCGTGCAACTTCACTGTAAGTCGCACAATTTCAAAATCGGCTTTGATGTGACTGGGGGCTTAAGCATGCTCATTTTAGGATCCTTTTTTTCTGACATTCCTGAGGGTTCACAAACTTGCACACCTTTGTGCATTGTGGAATCAATTTGAATAGTTGACTCAATTTTACACACTTTTTGTGAAAATGAGTTTTCTGGATAAGGTTCCTTTCCACAATACAGTGCACTTGGCCAATCTTGTTTTCAGTCGGTCTCAAATAAGAGGTTCCTGCCTCAAAGCATCCAAATGAATCATCAAAATCTTATTAGTGGCTGTGCGTTAATACAGACCTTTCTTTTTCAAAATAATCTGATGACTAAGCCTGAGATGTTTTAAATTGCCACCATCATCTCCCTTACAGTTCCAGATTCATATAAGTGTTGCTTCACAAGGTAACTGTAACAGAAAACGTTTTGTGCTCATTTGTGTAGGCTTGATATTTTTGCTAATATTCCAAAGCCTGTCTTAGTGTGGCTCTCAGCATTATGGGCTGTAACTAACAAGGCTATAGAAAGAACAAAGAAAAAAACCAACACACAGTAACCTGTAGCAATCATAACTCATTTTGACATTTTCAAATTGGTGAAGGATGGTTTGAGATTTGTCTTATTAATAATCTTTGTTCTTTGTCAACTATAACATACTAGTTTTGCAGGAAAGCTTTAAGCTGCAGATGAGGATAAACTGTTACTGCTGTACTTGGGAGGGATGATAAAGTGGTGTCCTTGCTAAAAGCATCAAATTTATCATCCTGCTGTGACTGACAAGAAAAACAAACAATGTCTTGTGACATTGATGGGTGCATGGGATAAACTGGCAGGCTGACAAGTTTTGTAACAAAAGTTTTATTTCTGCTACCTGTACTACCTTTTCTAATAGGCTTTATTGCTCATGATTAAAAGTTACATGTACAGTCCAATGCTAATGTGTTTCTGCCCGATGCGGGCCTTAACCACTTCAATACCGGACACTTGTACCCCCTTCCAGTTCAGGCCAATTTTCAGCTTTCAGTACTGTCACACTTTGAATGACAACTACTCAGTCATGCAACACTGTACCCAAATTTTTTTTTTCATTTTGTTCACACAAATAGAGCTTTTGGTGGTATTTAATCACCACTGTGTTTTTTATGTTTTTCTAAATAAACAAGAAAATACTAAACATTTAAAAAAAAAACATGTTTTTCTTTATTTCTGTTATAAAATTTTGTTATAAATAATTTTTCTTCATAAATGTAGGCCAAAATGTATTCTGCTACATTTCTTTGGTAAAAATAACCCAATAAAATATTTAGTCTTTAGGACAGATATAGTGTCCAATTTTAGATTTTTCAGGTATTTACCAAATTCAAGCTATAGTTATATAATGGATATGGGCTGAAAGTGCACACTCTCAGGTATAATTTGAGGGTATGTACATCCAAATTGGAGGAAGGGTGTAGGAATTACAGCTCTTAAGAGTAGCTATCCTCCCTTTTTCAAGGGACCAAAAGTAATTGGACAATTGAATCAAAAGCTGTTTCATAGCCAGGTGTGGGCTACTACTTCGTTATTTCTTCATCAAATAAGCAGGTAAAAGGTCTGGAGTTGATTCTAAGTGTGGTATTTGCATTTGTAATCTATTGCTGTGAAACTGCATCATGCGTTGAAAGGAGCTGTCCATGCAAGTGAAACAGGCCATTGTAAGGCTTCAAAAATGAAACAAATCCATCAGAGAGATAGCAGCAACATTAGGAGTGGCCAGATCAACAGATTGGTACATTCTGAGGAAAGAGTAATGCACTGGTGAGCTCAGCAACATAAAAAGGCATGGACGTCCATGGAAGACAACAGTGGTGTATGATCACAGGATCCTCTCTATGGTAAAGAAAAACCCATTCACAACATCCAGACAAATGAAAGACACTCTCCAGGAGGTGGGTGTATCATTGTTAAAGTCTACAATCCAGATAAGACTTCACAAGAGCAAATACAGAGGGTTCACCAAAAGGTGCAAACCATTCATAAGCCTGAAGACTAGAAAATCCAGATTAGACTTTGCCAAAACAAATCTAAAAAAGCCAGACCAGTTCTGGAAAAGCATTTTTTGGACAGATGAAGCTAAGATTAATAAGTACCAGAATGACGGGAAGAAAAAAGTGTGGAGAAGGCTTGGAACAGCTCATGATCCAAAGCACACAACGTCATTGGTAAAACAAGGTGGAGGCAGTGTGATGGCATGGGCATGCATGGCTTCCACTGGCACTGGGTCATTGGTGTTTATTGATGATGTGACAGAAGACAGAAGCAGCTAGATTAATTCTGCAGTGTTTAGAGAGATACTGTCAGCCTAGATTCAGTCAAATGCAAAACGTTGATTGGATGGTGCTTCACAGTACAGATGGACAATGATCCAAAACACACTGCAAAAGCAACCCAGGAGCTTTGGAAGGAAAAGAAGTGGAATATTCTGCAATGGCTGAGTCAATCACCTGATCTCAACCCAATTGAGCATGCATTTCACTTGCTGAAGGCAAAACTAAAGGCAGAAGGACCCACAAACAAAGAACAACTGGAGATAGCTGCAGTTAGAGCCTGGCAAAGCATCAGAAAGGAGGAAACCCAGTCTGTGGTGATGTCCATGGGTTCCAGACTTCAGGCAGTCATTGCCAGTAAAGGAGTCTCAACAAAATATTATAAATGAACATTTTATTTATGATTATATTCAATTGTCCAATTACTTGTGCTCCCTTGAAAAAGGGGGGATGGCTACTCTTAAGAGCTGTAATTCCTAAACCCTTCCTCCAATGTGAATGTACATACCCTCAACTTAAACCAGAGAGTGTGCACTTTCAGCCCATATCTATTATATAACTATAGCTTGAATTTGATTTAGTAAATACCTGAAAAATCTAAAATTGTGCCTGTGTCCAAATATATATGGACCTAACTGTATATATAGACATCCTCTAGGGCCCTGTGCTCACTGCCCGGCAGCACAGAGCTTGATTGGCAAATTTGCCATTGAATGGCAGAATTGGCTGGTCTGCCACTGGCCCCTGTGCTTTTCACAGATGAGAGCAGGTTCACCCTGACCAAAAGTGACAGATGTGAAAATGTCTGGAGAAGACATGGATAATGTTACACTACCTGTAACAACATTCAGCATGACCATTTTGGTGGTGTGCCAGCGATGATCTGGGGAGGCATATCCATGGAGGGATGCACAGACCTCTACAGGCTAAACAATGGAACCCTGACTGCCATTAGGTATCGGGATGAAATCCTTGGACCCATTGTAAGACTCTATGCTGGTGCAGTGGGTCCTAAATTCCTCCTGGTGCACGACAATGCCCCGCCTCATGTGGCAAGAGTATGCAGGCAGTTCCTGGAAGATAAAGGATATGATACCATTGAATGGCCCCCATGCTCGCCTGCCCTAAATCCAATAAAACACCTCTGGGATATCATGATTTTTCCATCCGATGCCACGAGGTTGCACCTCAGACTGCCCAAGAGCTCAGTGATGCCCTGGTCCAGATCTGGGAGGAAATACCCCAGGACAACTCCGTCTCATTAGGAGCATGCCCCGACGTTGTCAGACATGCATACAAGCACGTGGCGGCCATACAAACTACTGAGTACCATTTTGAGTTGCTGCAATGAAATTTCAGCAAAATGGACTAGCCTGCTGTATCATTTTTTCACTTTGATTTTTGGGGGTCTTTGAATTCAGTCCTCTGTAGGTTGATCATTTTCATTTCCATCAAACGATGGGGCATTTTTACGTTCCTAACACATCACCCAGTCCATATCAGTATAGATATCCAGCAAGATATTTTTCCCCGTTGAGATCTGATGTGTTCTGAAAGTGTTCCTTTAATTTTTTTGACCAGTGTATATACTCCCCATTGTCCATGTGTATAAGCCTCTATAGCCTTCTGCAAATGACAAACCCTGGTTCATAAAGCAGCAATGCTTATTAAAGTGTGAAAATATGCTAAATGATACTTAAAGGCGTGCACTTTTAAATGTTTTTATTGTTTTACCTAGGTATTAGCATAGGTATACTCCCTGTGTTGTTTGTTTGCTTTACCTTGTAATGATGGGCTTACATGTTGTGGCACCAGTTTCTAATGTCTTGGCCAATCAATTCCCCTATGTCCATGTATTTATTCACCTACCCTATTCACTAAAGGGACAGGCAATGTCCTGTTCTGGGTTACAATACAATCCACCATTTTCTGTGTTGCATTACATATGGGAGAGCTAATGTGATGAAAGACTGCATGGTGATATCTCTGTTAACTGCTCTGCCTGCTTGTATCTGCCAGAATGCTCATTACTTTTTAGCTTTCACGTCAATAGCACTAAACTGAGAGACGCAGGGATTTGTAGTTTCTCCACAGGAAGTGTCAGTTCTTAAACTGCAGACAGAGTCATGAATTAACATGTGCATGTACCTCATTTTTTAACACAAACAGAAACTTCTGGCACAGGAATAAGAAGATTTAATGTACTATAGGCTGTTTATACAGAGCAACAAATGACACCATATATGATTAATGCACATCTTATGCAAGTTAAAAACTCAAGGTGCCAGTAGAAAGGTTTATAATGCCTTTAAAGTGGGAGTAAATGCCACTTGGTGACTTGTACCTACATGTTAGCTTATAATAAAGTTTTGCATGTGATCTACTGTGATTGGTCAATTTAGTTTTTTTTAACCGCCTCCCGCCCGCCATATAGTAGAATGATGGACACAAGGTGGTTCTCTCGTTCTGGGAGGACGTCATATGATGTCCTCCCATTCAAACCGCACATGCGCGGCTTCGTGAGTGCGCAGCGCAGCTATCAGCGGTGCGTTGTGTCCCTTGGACACAGCGGATCACCGATCAACGGAAACAGCCGAAGATGTCAGCTCGGTCATGTGATAAGCTGTGTTCAATCACAGCTGATCACATGTAAACAGGGAAATGCCGGTTATCGGCATTTCTCTCCTCACGAGCTGTCACGCTGACAGCTCGTGAGGAGAGAGGAGAGAGCTGGTAATCAGCATTCGTCGGAGGGGACATGTACACAGATCATCAGAGCACTGATGATCAGTGTGCCCTGATGATCTGTGTAGCCCCAGCAGCGCCACCTGTCAGTGCCCATCAGTGCCACATTTCAGTGCCCATCAGTGCCACATATCAGTGCCCATCTGAGCTGCCTTTCAGTGTCACCCATCAGTGCCAGTGAGTGCCACCTATCAATGCCAGCAAGTGCTGCCTATCAGTGCTACCTATCCGTGTCAGTCAGTGCAGCCTATCAGTGCCCGTCAGTGCTGCCTATCAGTGCCGCCTAACAGTGCCACTCAGCGCCGCCTATCAGTGTCGCCTATCAGTGCCATATATGAGTGCTGCCTTTCAGTGCCCATCAGTGATGCCTGTCAATGCCCATCAGTGCCACCTACCAGTGCCTCCTCATCAGTGCCCATCAGTGCCACCTATCAGTGTCCATCAGTGCAGCCTATCAGTGCCCATTACTACAGCCTCATTAGCGGACATCAGTGAAGGAGAAAAATCACTTATTTACAAAATTTTATAACAAAAACTAAGAAAAAACTTTATTTTTTCCAAATTTTCAGTGGTTTTTGGTTTATTTAGGAAAAAATAAAAAAACCCAGAGGTGATTAAATACCACTAAAATAAAGCTCTATCTGTCACAAAAAAATTATAAAAATTTCATATGGGTACAGTGTTGCATGACCGCGCATTTGTCATTCAAAGTGCAACAGCACTGAAAGCTGGAAATTGGCATGGGCAGGAAGGGGGTATAAGTGCCCTGTAGGCTAGTGGTTAAATAGACTTTACTACTACTTTAAGGCATGTTAAAATCACACAAGATAATACTGACTGAGAAGTTACTTTAGCATGCCTTGAGCATTTAAGTGCTGCTTTAGGCTTGATTAAATCTAGTCTAATTCCTTCCAGTATCTAAAGTAGTATATAAAAAAATCCATTAGACAATTCAGTGAATAAATACAATTATTAATGTGAAGGTTATAGTGGTAAAGTAGCAAAATGTTTAGGCCAATTATCTGAATCATTAATGATGAAAGCTGGGCATAGTTATTAACATGTACAAGCATTTGCAATCAGCAGTTATAGTTGGTATATTGAAACTCTGTATTCATAACTTATGAAATGAAGAGGTCTGTACTTACCTGCGCACAACAAATGAAGGCAATAGACAGTGTTAATAAGTAGATTGAAGACACAATGACATCTACTGATCTCTGAGGTCCTCTTCTCTAGTGAGAAGAAAAAATAAATATGGTTATATACATTAAAGGCAGAGAAACAACACAATAGGAAGGGACAAGACTAATGCAGATTGTTAGTTCACCTTCAGATAGGACCGCAGAGATAGCCAAATCTTAATGTTCTGCACCTTCTTCAGCCGGAAGTGAGGGATCTCAGACTTCAGTGCTTTTCTAGCAGAGGTCAGGTGACTGAAAAGCTTCGCTATCAGAAACCTCTGCAGGAGCATACAAAGACACAACAATGGTGAATAGCGATAGTAGGAATTTATATCTGCAAAAAGCAGCACGGGCAGACGGGCAGAAAATAATATAGGTTATGCACAAACTCTCACTGGAATGAAACACAATAGGATATCTGATACAGCCACTCATTCTTCATAATGACAAAACCTAGGAGAGTATATAATATAATCATTTGGGGTTATTTACATTAACCATATCATGTCTTAGTATGGTATAAATACATACAGTAGGTATACAAGTGCTTTGGTAATTCCTTGCATGAACCATATTTTTTCTGGGTCATTGCTCTCTTTTAGATGCTGGTTGCGATTGTTCCAGTTTGACAGGAGAATTTAGTTTTAGCATTGTGTGTGTGTTTTTTTTTTTTGTTGAAGAACTGAATACAGCATCTGTTTCATCAATTGTTCCAACAGTGAGAATATTGGTACGTGTGAGATGAGCGTGTGACCAGCAACATCATCTTAGCTCAAAATCCAAAATACTTCTACACACATGGGTACATTTCAATGCTTTTTCACATACCATGGTTTAATGGAAGCTAAACTGGAGGCTAACATGGAGGCTAAATTGCTGACATCCAATCTCCAAGTGCTAGTTGCCTGCCTTTTATGCTGATACTCTGAACTCACCATCTCTGAACCAAAATGCAGGTAAGAAACAGATTCTGACATTCCTCATTAAAAATGGATTTTACCAAACATCGGTAATGCTAACAAGCATAGAGCTGCACACCATATCTTCCGTGATATAGAAAATGTTTTTTGCACTAAAGACACCCTACCCGATCCTGCGTTTTGCTCCTTATTGGGGCTTATTGTAATCATTATGGCACAAAACATGCCAACAATGAATGGACAGTCTTTACTGCAGCCTGTGCACTGCAGCTTTATATGTGAGGGTAGGTGCAGTGTGTGGCTCTATGCTTGTTTGCAGTGGGAGAGCAGATGACAGAGCCTGGAGATTTGCTGACAAATAATTATTACCAGAACCTTTTTAAAAAGATATTGTTTGCATGCCGTGGCACTGCAGCTGCTGAGATTTTATTTTCCTAAATGTGGGGCTTTCTAATTACTATGAACAATGGAGGCTGATTTTACTAAAGCAGTCAGAATTTTTGCTTAATAAATTGTATGAATATTCCCTTCAATTATCCAATTATGTGAAGAGCAAATTCCTGTTCACTTTGAATACCCAATCATGTGCTGGTAAAATAAGTAAACAGGAGTTTGCTTTTCTTGTGAATTAATAATTTAAAGTGAATATTCACACAAATGATTGCATAAAAATATTCTCAATCCTTTTGTCAATCAGCCTAAGCCTCTCTGTCCCAATGCTGTACAAAATATTACACCTCTGGAATCCTTTTGGATGTTGCACATTGCACTCCCAGTCACTTGTTCAATGTACAAACTCAGACTACTAAAAGTAGAAATAAAAGTAGACTACTTGTACAAACTCAGACTACTAAAAGTAGAAATAAAAGTAGACTACTTGTACAAACTCAGGCTACTAAAAGAAATAAAAGTAGACTACTTGTACAAACTCAGAACTAAAAGTAAAAGTAGACTACTTGTACAAACTCAGACTACTAAAAGTAGAAATAAAAAAGTAGACTACTTGTACAAACTCAGACTACTAAAATAGAAATAAAAGTAGACTACTTGTACAAACTCAGGCTACTAAAAGTAGAAATAAAAGTAGACTACTTGTACAAACTCAGGCTACTAAAAGTAGAAATAAAAGTAGACTACTTGTACAAACTCAGGCTACTAAAAGTAGAAATAAAAGTAGACTACTTGTACAAACTCAGACTACTAAAAGTAGAAATAAAAGTAGACTACTTGTACAAACTCAGACTAAAAAGTAGAAATAAAAGTAGACTACTTGTACAAACTCAGACTACTAGTACTACTTGTACAAACTCAGACTACTAAAGTAGAAATAAAAGTAGACTACTTGTACAAACTCAGACTACTAAAAGTAGAAATAAAAGTAGACTACTTGTAAAAACTAAACTAAAGTAAAAGTAGACTACTTGTACAAACTCAGACTACTAAAGTAGAAATAAAAGTAGACTACTTGTACAAACTCAGACTACTAAAAGTAGAAATAAAAGTAGACTACTTGTACAAACTCAAAGACTACTCGGGCTACTAAAACTCAGTAGAAATAAAAGTAGACTACTTGTACAAACTCAGACTACTAAAGTAGAAATAAAAGTAGACTACTTGTACAAACTCAGACTACTAAAAGTAGAAATAAAAGTAGACTACTTGTACAAACTCAGACTAAAAGTAGAAATAAAAGTAGACTACTTGTACAAACTCAGACTACTAAAGTAGAAATAAAAGTAGACTACAAACTAAGAATACTAAAGTAGAAATAAAAGTAGACTACTTGTACAAACTCAGACTACTAAAGCAGAAATAAAAGTAGACTACTTGTACAAACTAAGAATACTAAAGTAGAAATAACATGGTTAAAGTGTTAAGCTGGGTATACACAGGTAGTTTTTTAGTTCATCCAGAAGGTTTAATAAAAAACACCTTGCAGATCAACACAACAATGTGTGGTGAAGGGATCTCTCCCATTATTTTGTTGTATTTTGACAGGGGGGACTACCCCCTTCCACTCCTGTGGCCAGAATGCACTGATCTGTGCTTGCAGCCATTGGTTGCATGTGTTGATCGAATGCTGGTTTTCCAGCAAAGCTGCTTGACAAAACCCAGTCGTTAGACCAGCTTCTGTTGAACAAACTGGTACACACATACCAAAATGTATCCAATTCTTGCTGAACTTGCCAATTTTCAGTATGTATATACCAGGCTTTAGGGTTGGTTTGTACCATGAATTACACAGGAACGCAGTGCAGTGGGATTTCACCCCATTCATTTGAGTGGGCTAAAATCATGCTGGACTGCACAAAAAGTAGTGCATGCAACCGGATTTCATGGTACTACTGTACTTCTACCTGCGTTTGGGGTGTCATTAAGTTAAAGTGATTGCAAAGGAAAATTTATTTTTTTCTTTTAGATAACAAACATGTCTATACTTACCTTCTCTGTGCATTAGAATTGCACAGAGCAGCTCTGATCCTCCTTTTTTTAGGTCCCCCACTGATGCTCCTGACTCCTCCCCTTTTGCAGGTGCCCTCTAATAGGAGGCCGATTCCCATGGGGGCATGTGTGCGGGCTCACTCCTGAGTCCCGCTGCTGCATCCATTGCCAGAAACAGCAGGACTAGGCCCTATCCCCGCTTCCTTGTCACTGGAGTTGATTGACAGGAGCAGGAGCCATTGGCTATCGATATGCCCAGTGAGGAGTGACAAAGCCAGGAGAGCTGCAGCTCTCATGCACAGGGCTGGATCACGATTAGGCTCAGGTAAGTATAAGGGGGGGGGGGTTACCTTAATGCATAGAATACACTGAAGTAAAAATCCTTGAGGCTTCAGAACCACTTTAACACTGACAACTGCTGCAGTTTAGAAGTGCAGTACGTTTTGAACACAATGTGGGAAACTTGAGTGAAACAGTGGTTTCCTGAACCGCGTTCTGATGTGAACTGGCCCTTTACAGAAAAAATTAAAAGGTGAACTAACACTGTACACCCTTCCCAACCCTCCAGTCCCATCTGTACTAACTTCCATGGGTGAGGTGCTGTCAGTGCCCATGTAGCCGACGTAGTGATCCAGAGATTTGAAATCCTCATTCTTTTTCTCCTTCTTTCTTTCTGCAGGACTTCCAGGATGGATCAGAGTGATTCTGATTGGTCTGCACCTTCACAGGGAATTGCCCTGATCCATCCTGGCACTCATGGAGGTAAGTAAAGCTGGGACCAGGGGGGTAGGAAGGGTGAAAAAGTGAGTTAACCCTTTAAAGACACATCATTTGAACATTTTATTGCACTGGGATCTTCAACTCAATCAATTTAGGAAATACTTATTTACATACTTGCAATTAAACAGGGAACAGGCATTGATACAACCAGTTATAGTGTTCATTGAAAGCAGCAGGAAAAAAATTGCCAATGCCATAAACTCCAGGCAGAAAAAAAAAAAAAAAAAAGATTGCAGTTATGCATTTAGAAATAACCACCATCCACGTTTGTGTTGACTTTAGCTTTGGCAGTTTGTTTTTTCTGGAGAAGATTGCATTTACAGTCTCTTGGTTATTGTGGAGATACATGGTTTCTTTGAGGACTCTTCACTAGCATACTATTGACATATACAGTTGTGCTCAAATGTGTGCATATCCTGGCAGAAATTGTGACATTTTGGCATAGAAATATGACTGATCATGCCAAAAAAATATTTTATTTAAGGATAGTGATCATATGAAGCCATTTATTATCACATAGTTGTTTGCCTCCTTTTTAATAATTCATAATAAGAGAAATCATCCAAATGGCCCTGATCAAAAGTTTACATACCCTGGAATGTTGGTATAGACACACAAGGTGACACACAAAAAAATCGTCAGTTAAAGGCCAATTTCCCACATCTGTGGCTTTTCAAATTGCAATTAGTGTCTGTGTATAAATAGTCACTGAATTTGTTAGCTCTCATGTGGATGCACTGATCAGGCTAGATACTGAGCCATGGGGATCATAAAATAACTTTCAAAAGATCTGCACAACAAGGTAATGAAACTTTATAAAGATGGAAAAGGATATATAAAGATATCCAAAGCATTGAATATGCCAGTCATTACTGTTAAATCACTTATTAAGAAGAAAATTCGGGGATCTTTTGATACCAAGTCAAGTACAGGTAGAGCAAGAAAAAATGAAGCCACAACTCCCAGAATAATTGTTCAGGATAGAAAGAAAAAACCCACAGGTAACCTCAGGAGAAATACAGGCTGTTCTGGAAAAAGATGGCGGTTGTTTTGAAGGAGAATAATACAATGATACTTGAACAAAAATGAGTAGCATGTTCGAGTTGCCAGAAAGAAGCCTCTACTGCACCAATGCC